CCCCCCCCCCCCCCCTCCCCGTTTTAATATTATTATTTGTTTACACCTGGGCCCCAATGTACGGACGCCTCAAAAAATATGTAAATTTTTTTGGGGGTAAACGACCTGAAAAACCAGAAAAGAAAGAAAGGCGAAGTTTTAAGGGGATATCCCCTATCCTCGTACAACTTAGAGATTTCTAATTCAGTGCTTAATCGACCTCCACATCGATTGTCCACGTGATCTTAGTAATTAAGGTAAAATATTTTGGGGTATTATGCAAGTTTGTACCATGATATCAATGTATGATTCGTCGGGGCAACACGTGGGATAATTCTTTGTTCGACGCTTTGCAACTCGTGACATAATGTCCCATTCCACCGATGGATAATAGTCGGAAAGGTCTAGAAGATATAACAATTATTGTTTATGAAGTTTGATGGTAAATTTAACATTTGATGAAGTTACGTCTGTGCTTGTGGATAGGTGCGATTTGCGTTGCCGAACGCGAGCTGGAACTACGAAAGGCTGGAATTTTCGGAAGAATTGTGTTTAACATGTGTAAAACCACCTTAAATCAACCCTCAACTGCTAAAATTTCTGAAGCTAAGCAAACTGGAAAGAATCTGCTGCCATTAAAACGGTTCCTAGAACCATTTATTTCTCTCAGTCATTCACTGTCATCCATAAACAGTGGATTCCAACAGTGACATATCACAACTTCACTTTTTTATTGGCAATTTCTCAGTTCTCCATTATTAGTCTTTCTCATCCACATAGTTCTACACTAGCACTCAAGCCAATTTTTCCAGGGAACTGGCAGTCCTTTCCGTTTTCCTCTGATATAGCCATAAATGCTGTAGCGGGAATACCACAGTTTTAAAAAGTGAACAAACAGACGCGTTACCAATTCCATCTTCAACAACTGTGATATTATCAATTTGGCCGTATTCGTTCACCTCCAGCTCGTATCGTGGCTCACCGTCCAGAAGTTCCAAATCCAGCAAATCTTCGGAATATGTCCAGGAGCCAAACTTTCAGATGAAACCACAAAGGCATTTTATTCATTTTTATGTGTTTCAACAAAATAAAACCAATTTTGAAGTTTACCAAAAAATTCGAAAAAGCTGAGGGATATGAAAAAATGAAAAAAAAAATTGTTGTAAATTTTGAAAAATTTTGGTGAGTGCTTCAATGGATTTTTGACTGGGCAAGATTGTAAAATGAGTTTTTCGAAAAACTGAACTAAAAAGATACCTTAAAATGACAGCGTTGTTCGTCGAATGGAAACCTGTAACAAATTTCAGTGAACAGTAAATAGTGCTGCACAATATGCCTACATGTCTGGTTTAGTTTTAGCCTTCAAATTTTGACTTCGACTCCCATGCCATTTAAATCTGAAAAGGAATGTTTCGGTTCACTGACTAAAGCGACAATCTGTTTGTACAAATTTGCATGAGAAACCCCTGCGCGAAATTTAACGTACCACTGAACGTCGATTTGACATAAACTTTTGAAAATTGCCGGAGGCTCCCACGTTACTTCACCATCGTATCGTAGGGTTGCTTTTGTGCTGATTGTGATGTTATAATTACTATCTGCACTGAAAATATATATCCTTAAGGATTTTGAGCTAAAATAAAAAGATGGGGAAAAGTGAAATCCCAAAGCAACAAGAAATTCACAAGAAAAAATGAAATTTACCAAATCCGCGACAATGAAGAATGCTGGATACTCTAAGGTCAGTGGATCGCTCAGTAAAGAGGCAAGAAATGCGGAAACTTCAAAAAATTCAATTACTGCATCCAATTCAGGCGAATTTCTCGAAAAAAAAAACTGGCTTACTTATTATACAGGACAATGTCCGGTACCCAAATCATTTCATAGGGAACATAGAGTACGCTGACTCCTCCATAATTCCTCGGATCCCAAGACAACTTCTTATCGATCCATACTTGCCTTAGCCAAACGCTGCATGTCATTATTTGATCAATTTCATGCTATAATTTTATGGATCACACGCAAAAAAAAGCACTTAAAAACCAAAAAATAACAACAAACAGTTTCCGAATATTTTATATATTTCGCACAAGTTTTTTTGAAAGTTTTTTCCGTTTAATAAAATTTTTTTTT